TTGTTCAAGCATTATATAAGTGGAGTTCCATCTTATGGGCATATCTAAGGCTAATGCTCTAGGATTTTGATTACATGCTTGTAGAAATCTAAACCAATCTTGTATTCTTTGATTACAACCTTGAATCCAAACAATGTTATCTCCAATACTTTTAATATGACCTGACATTGATTTTAAACCGATTTTTACTATTAAATTAATTATATGACATGCACAACGTTGGTAAAATATATCATTATTACTGAATAAACTTAAATCATTTTCAAAAAGTTTTATTGCTTTAGTATTTGTAATTGCATTATCTAATATTATGGCCATTATTCTATCTCTTAAATTATATTAATCAATGACAGATAAAATTGTGTTATATATTAAATTGACAGTATGTGATCCTATAACACATTTAAAACCCTAAGATTCTCTTATCCAAATCAAAACCTTTACAATAAGGTCTGGTTACAGCTAAATAATCTTTGTTGGCAACGGCGGACCAAATATCCACCGTTAACGCAACGCAACCACTAGTAGAGTGTAAAAGATTGATTAATGCTTCATTTTCTTGTTTAAATAATTTTAATGCATCTTTCCTAAGAATAGTTCTTGAACAAAATTGTGCATTAGGATTATGTACAATTTTAATATAACGCTGCCAATTCCTTTGTTCAGTAAAATTAAATGTGGCTACTAATCGTGCCATTTCCATACGATCAACTTGCGGATCGTATTTTCACGTGCTTAGACCGCCGGTTTGGCAGTCAAATGATAATTGTGTTTGGCAGAGATCGGCTCCGCCTACTTGCTTTTGAAGACACTTTTCAGAGTGTCTTCTCAAGTGTGTAGTGTCATGAATAGTGTTATCTTATAATTTATTACCACAATATTTGCATTGAGCTATGTATTTAATGTTACCGTTATTTGTCGACCTCCTTGAATGTGTTGAAGTGCTCCCAAACCACTGAGGTGCGCTTGCATTTCTTCTTAGAACTTGCAACACTTGCACTAGCACTATCGCTTGCCTCTCCTCCACGCCCACTAGTGCCACCATGATTACGCCCAAACGTGTCGAAAATAAAGTGGTCGCGATAGCACAGTTAGGGCAGTCGTATCCACAAGGAGGAGACAAATTGAACAAGAAACGATTAGCAAATAAAAAAAGTTAGGAGATGAATAATAAAATCAAAATAAAAGAGAATGAAATTTTTGTTGAGAAGTTTAAGCATAAGAAAATTATATGAGAAAATTATATAATTAAAACCGGTGAGGCGTCGAGATTCCTCTATATGCTTGGTTCACCCGAATGGATTTTGATTTTTAAGATTACTCAATTGAAAGTTTCACATCCCAAACAATCAATCGGAAAATAAGATTTGAAGAACTTGTGAATAAAAATATATTTGAGTAAATGAAATCCTTACGTTTAGAACTAGGAAAAATTATCTTATGAGAAATCTAAAAGCGACAATATACCCCGTTGGTAATATTGTAGTAAAATACTACTCATAAAACAATACCTACCAATATATAATATCATGCAACAACCACATAAAAAGAGCTTGACTAGATTTATATAAAAGTTGACAATAAAATATATTGATATGAGGAAGAAATATGATAAAAGAAAATTATTTACTCAAATGTATAAAACTTACAAACTATTTGAGAATCAAAACAAGCCCACTACACATATAGGATCATCTCTAGCCTCACCTAAATACTCTAGCCTAACTTGCACATAATTTCTACAAAATTCTAAAAAGAAAGTATGAGAATAAGAGCAAGACAATGAGAGAAAAAGTGTAAGAATTTAGGCTCTAAATTAACAACCTAATACACTAAACATAGCCCTTATTTATAGAGTTTTTGAGCCATCCAAAAATTACAATCAGCAACAAGAAGAAAAGGAACGTATTCCAATTAAATTGGAATTTACAATGCTTAATTGGGATAGTAAAAGCTGATTAACGTGGGAAGAAAAACCATCAAAATGTTAGAAACCGAAGGAAATGAATAGCACAACAGCTCGTACACGTGGCGCGAGCTGAGAAAGAAACGTTGCTGTGCACGGGACACGTGGCACAAGCTGAGAGCGGAAGGAAGAAATGGGTGACAGCTGGGTCCCACGAGGAACACATGATGCACTATGATTCGCGGAGGGGAAGAAGTGGCCGACAGCTGCTTCCGTTAAGGACACGTGGCGGGAGTTGATTGGAAAGCTGTTGCAATGCGGGACCCACGCGGAGAAGAAAGGAGAACCGGGTGACGCGCGCGTGGAGGAGACTCGTGCAGGGGGAACGGCGTGCGCACCAAGTGCGCGTGTGTGCTGGGACAACTGGGTCCCAAGCGGCTGAGTGTGCCAGAAAATGACACGTGGCGCACTGAGGAGAAAGGAGCGCCTCGGCTTGGCTCGGCTCAGACGACTAGTTGATGGGCTAATGGTGTCTTCTGATGGGCTTCTTAATGGCCCTTTTCCTTCTTTTAGTTCTTCTTTTAACAATTATGAACAATTTAAGTGAATTTTTTATACTTATCACACCACCATTACGTCCACGACCTCTAGTACGTCCACTAAGGCTCGGATTTACAGTTTCCTCAGCAACTCTTTCCGTAGTTTGCAATTCCTGTGTTTGAAAAATATTAGGAAATTGCCATTCTTCGATATTAAATTAGGCATCAATGGGAATATCACCACCATAATTAGAAGAAACCATTATGAAAAATAAGAGAGATTGAGAGCACTTTGAGAGAGATTAAGAGAGATCGAGAGAGATTTAAGCGAGATTAAGAGAGATTTGAGAGAGATTAAGAGAGATTTGAGAGAGATTGAGAGAAATTGAGAGAGAATGAGAGTTATCCGGTGAGGAAAATGGTTGGTGGAGAGGGGGTATTTATAAGAAATTTTTTGGCTTGAAAAAAAATTTTCCCCCAAAAATTATGTTCCAGCGGCTAAGTGGAATTCAGGCATTCAGGTCGGGTTTGGGCAAAATCGGGGCAACTGTCTAAAAAATAGCCATCGGGGTTTGAAAATTCGGGCAAAATTTGGGCAGCGGTCGGGTCGGGCAAAAAAGATCCGTTGGGTTCAAAATTCTGGCATATTCGAGCAATAGGCAAAATTCGGGCTAACGGTCAAAAAAATTCAGGCAAATTTGGGTTACGCGGAAAAATTCAAAAAAAAAAAATCCGGCGGGCGACGAGGTCGACTTCTCCACCGGCGGCGGGCAGCTGGAATGGATTTTTTTCAAGCTGCCCGAGCCCGTGCCTAACCAAAATACTCGAACGGGCGGCGAATGGCACCTGCCCGCCGTGCCTGAAAATATTGGACATCGGGCATGCCCGCCGCCCGAACTTTCAGCACTAACCACACCCCATCAACCATATATACGAACAATGTTATCGAACACTGATGTGGAAAATCATATACTAATATAATGTAGGTCTTGTGGCGTGAAACTCATAAATGAGACCCACCTTTTATTAATTATGGTGTTTAGTATATGTTGTTTTTGAGGTATTTTTCTTTTTATGTTCATTTAGTCTAACGTAGTAAGCTCAGAAGACATAATTTAGCCTTAAGAAAATAAAAAAGAAACTGCTTGAATTGTTTTTAGTAATATGAAGTTGAGTGTTTGGTAGACTATGTTTTGAAAGATACTTAGACCTTTAAAAGTCGTGGCTTTTAAATTCATATGGACTTATAAATGACCAAAATATACATGAAGACAAATTGTTTTTCTTTTTTATAATTATTATAAAGAAATATATTATATTTTCACATGAAAGAAATATTTCACCCCTAAAAAATTATTTTATGTTATTATTTTTTCTTAACACCCACTCCGATAATTATGCAAATGAGCATGAAATGTTATAAAATGTTTCATAAACGTGCAAAAAAATATATAGAGAAAAATCGAAGAAAAGTAAAAGAGGCGCTGATTAGTTATAGATGCAAAAGTCGAGCCGCCAAATCGATCCAACGCGTTATTTTTGTTGCTTGGACCGACCCTAAAGGGGTAGGATCTGCCCATCCTGATAGACCTAGGCATGGCCAGAAACTCTATAGAGAAATTTTGACAAATACCCCTTAAAAGTGTTTGAGTATTGATTTTTACTATTTACTCTTAATTAATCCCCTTTAGCTAAATGATTATATTAACAAAAAGGTAATAATAAAGAGTAAATGATAAAAATCTAGACTCAAGCACTTTAATGATAAATTCAACAATTTTCTCAATTTTTTTTTCTTTTTATAAGGTATTTTAAAGAAAAAAATAACAAGAATGCATGGGCCAATCAGGCCCCATTTGAACACTTAAGTGGACCGGATCGGTTCGTGACCATGCCAACAGTGATAGGCCTAGGACCAACTTGTTCGGCATGATATAAACTTGTAGTTCTTAAAGTAATTTTGACAAATACTCATTAAAAGTGCATGAGTTAAAATATTTACCATTTACTCTTGATTCATAATCTTTTTAATCAAATAATTATACTAATAAGAGAATATTTATCAATAATAAATAATAAAAATTTAAATTCATATACTCTCAAAAGTAAATTATATATTTTTTCTAATTCCTTGGGAGAAAAAAGTTAAAGCAGATATTGAGATTGAGAAGGGCTTTCTTGGCATTAAAATTTTATTGCAGTGGCATTTTTAGAAATAAATATCTTCAAGTACAAGCATAGTACGGCTCTTCCGGAAGTCAAAACCAAAAGCTTCCCTCTTAAACTCCTCCACAAAACTGCTGCCTTCCCTGATGCATCAAATTTTCAAACAATCTTGGAAGTAGTGCCACTACGGAAACACATTTTCATTTCAAAATTCAAAGTAAAACTGTGTGCCATAATTTACTTTTTTTGGGAGCCACAGCATCCACAGACGGGGCCTTAGCGTACATAGTAAGCTCCATACGACACGTCACATAAATAGTAGTCAGTAGATCAATTTCATCATCTGAAAAAAAAAATGGCGGGTCTTTTATATTGAGACCACAGTTCTTCCTCTCTTTCCCATTTCCCATTTCTCTCGAGCGAAAGAAAACCCCAGTCCCTTCGATCTGTCTAAGCATGGTGATGAGAAATGCACTCAGTAATGGCGGTCCTTTGAGAGGACAGAGGAGTAGAAAGGTTCATACTCGGTACGTCTTTCACCGGTATTACCTTCCTCTCTTTCCCATTTCCCATTTCCATCTTACGAAAACCCTAGCTCCTTCGATCTCTCTAAGCTTGGGGATGAGAAATACTTGCAGTAATGGCGGTCCTTTGAGAGGACAGCGGAATAGAAAGGTTCATGTTCGGTACGTCTTTCACCGGTGTCACCGAAGCAAGCCATCTACTCGTCTTCTGCGCCGAATACTTGGAAGATCCGTCCAGAAGGCCATCTCTACCTCGAGGTTGGGATTTGTGCCAGCGATGTCGTCTTGCTCGTCGACGGGCTCCAACTCTCCGCGGGTAATTTCTACGCTTATGTACGATATTTTGTGTGTTCTATTGCTCTCTGTTTGTTTGAGTTTTTCAAACTTTTCTCTGTTTGTTTTGTTTGTCTAATACATGCATGTTCTACTGTTCTTTGTTTGTTTGATTGGATTTGAGTTTCGGCTTTTTTTTTTCTTCTTCTTTTCTTAATCTTGTTGCTGACATTCTTTAGGTGTTCTCAGTTTCAGCATCGTTGGTTTGTGTTATTTTCATGTTGGTGACACTTGAGTGGGCATCATGGAAATTGCTACACGAAGGCACTAACTGAAATTGAAATCAAATCAATATCCGCTTTAAAAAAAAATAAAGAAAAATAAAATTGGTCTTTGGATTTTGAAATAGTATGGACGTGGTGGAATCTGTAATCTTATTTGGAGAAGAAAAGAATTAGGAGAACGCGTACATATACAAATGCACTAACTGATATCAACATAGTTTATCAGTATAATAAACGATAAAAATTATAACTTGGTTGCGAATAACAGCAACCACAGTAGCATGTAGGATAAGTGAACAGTGGAAATAGGATTTGGTTCGTGTCAATTTGGCGTTTTCTCAACTATTTTGGACTTCCACCTTCCTCACTCTCATGTTGATCACATAGCCCTGTTTTAATTTTATTTTTAAAAGATAATGTATACTTTTCTCAGTTAGTAGACATTATCAATATGCAGCATTTCGTTAGGTGGAAAAAAACCTTGCGTTCCCAATCATTAGTCCTTCTAAGTTACCACAAAGGACAATAATAGATCTTTGACTTGGTTAGTTGAGGAAGTAAATTTTTGCATTTAAAGCAGCATTGCCCACATAAGAAGAATTTTACCCAAAGACCTCCAAACTTTGGCCAACAAGTCCCAAATTTTCCTTCTCAGCCGCCAAACATTCACCCACATCCGCAAACATATCAGAACATGTCCCAAAACTACAAACCCAAACTCCCAACTTTGGCCCCCAAACACCTTACTACATGCCCCATTTTCCACCTACAACTGGCCCTTTTGGTAGGAGATGGAATTCCCTACCAGCTCTGACTTGTTTTTCCTTCTTTAAATGTTGCTAATCATCATTTATATTTCTTCCAATGTTAATCCCATTTATGTATTCTTGTTATTGACAATTTCTATTCTTATGTTGGAACTATGTTCGAAACATTTGTTGTCTTATTTTTTTCCATTGCTGCCTTGGTCCCGTGTTCGTAATTTTATGTTGACCATGGCTATTGAGTTGTACTTGAACTCCATTATTTCATGTTATTCAATGCATTATTTTTTATCCATTTAAATATGACTTGTCGTTGCTGCTTTGTGGACGACGTCTATGGACCTTTAAAATGTTCGAATGGTGAACTCACCATTATGCATTCATGAATGTTCATTCCATGCAGGGGCTTTTTTATTGCTTACACGTGTTCTTAAACGGAATGAATTTTATGGCTTTTTCGCAGGACATTATGTGGAATGCAGGGCCATCAAATCAGCCCAACCATAATGAATTTAGCGATGACTCTGATGATGAATATGAGCTCGCAGCCGTCGTTGTTGTGTTGTGGTATTACTACATGTACATGAGTAGACCACTACCTCGACCGAAGCACACGTCCACCTTCACAGGTATAATGTGTGTCGAGTACTTGCTTGATGGACATGAAGACGTAATTAGGGCCAAGATTAGGATGGGCAGTGAATGTTTTAAGCGTCTTAGTTCATTGCTTGAGCTTCAAGGATATCTAAGACCTACTAGGAATATGAATGTGGACGAGCAGCTTTTTATTTTCCTATACATTGTGTGCCAAAATTCAAACAACAGGGAATCACAGGATCAATGGCAGCATTCGGGTGCTACCATCTCTAAGTACTTCAAGCTCGTGTTAAAGGCGTTGTGTAAGCTCCGCGTTGACTTCATAAAACCACCGAAGTTCAACATTATCGATCCAATGCTTGCGGCACATGGAAGCAAGTATTTGCCATGGTTTCAGGTATATGGTTACAAGTAACTAATCTATTTGAGGAGGGGTGTGAAAATATAAATCCCATTTGTAGGACCTCATCGTAATTGCTTATGTATGTTGTAAACTTTACAGAATTGTATTGGAGCTCTTGATGGGACTCACGTCCCTTGCGTTCCACCACGTGCGGACCCTGAAGTATGGAGAAATAGGAAGGGTTTCTACTCTCAAAATGTGTTAGGGGTCTGCTCCTTCGACATGAAGTTCACGTACATGTTAGCTAGATGGGAGGGATGTGTCCATGATGCTCAGGTGCTTGCATCTGCAACGGCGACATTGGCCAAAAAATTCCCATATCCACCCAACGGTATATTCTTATGTTTTGTATATGCATATGTTTCACTATACAACGTTGAATGACATTCCTATACAATGGAAAGCTTCCAAATCGAATATTTGATATTAAATTTCCAAGTAATGCAGTTACTTATTGACTTTTAATTAACACTACAGGTAAATATTACTTGGTAGACTCTGGTTACACTAATAATGATTGTTTCTTGGCACCCTACCGGGGGAGCACTTACCACCTTCAAGAGTATAAGGCAAGGCGTGGTCATCCTCAAAGTGAGCGTGAGTTGTTTAACTACACGCATTCGTCCTTAAGGAATTGTATCGAGCGCACTTTCGGCGTCTGGAAAGTAAGGTTTCGAATACTTAAGTGTATAAATAATTATCCAATAGAGAAACAGGTAAAAATTATGATTGCTTGTGCTGTGCTTCACAATTGCATACATATGTACAACTATAATGACGATCTACTCAGCCAGTACATGAGAGATGGTGTACCGGTTATAGAAATTGATCCACAGAATGTGGATCAAGATGTCAATCAGAATTACAATCCAGATCGGGAAACCCAACAAAATCATAATTGTCCAAACCGTAGACAGATGAATTTTTTAAGGGATGAGATGGCTAGTAGAATGTGGGGTGCATTGGAAACTAATCGCCATCGGTAGTTACATAGTTACGTAATTTGGACCAAATTATTAAAATGGGGTTTTAGCTATTTGTACCGCAATTTGGACTGATATTAATATCGGTTTGTTATCTATACAACCTTCTAATTTGTACACATTAAATATGGCTTTGTAATGAAGGACAGTTCACTTGAATAGCATATATATATATATATATGTACATATATATTTTTAATAGGAAACTCAAAACCAACATATATGCCATGTTGTGTGAATTCATACATTCTGACATTTTATATTTCAACAGATTTTTGGAGGAAATTGATTGCAGGTGCTGAATATTCAATTTTTTTTAATGTAATTCCATGCCAATATCTTGGTATAATTAGAGTTTGAATTTAGTGAAAGTGAATGCAAAACTCTAAAGTTTTAAATATCAAATCAATTTCCTTTTAAACACTCAATTTAAATTTTAAATTACAATTCCAATTAATTATAATTTAAATCCACTTTCTTAATTCTAATCAACAAATTAGATTGAAGTGAACGCCCTTCAAACTGCTGCCCTCCCTGACTTATAAAATTTTCAAACAATCTTGGCAGTTGTTCCATTACCAATACACATTTCCAAATTTCTGCCATAATTAAAATTCCTTTCCTCGGCAGCCACAGAAACCCCAAACGCAGCCTTATTGTAGATAGCAAGCTCCATACGACACATCACAATATAAATAGTAGAAATCAATTTCATCTTCATCATCTAAAAAAATTGGCGGGTCGTTTATATTGAGAACCCAGTTCTCCCTCGCTTTCCCACTTGCCATTTCTCTTAAGTGAAAACCCTAGCCCTTTGAGCTTCACCATTTTCGTGTCGTAGAACTTCTAAGCATGGTGATGAGAATTGCTTGCGGTAATGGCGGTCCTTTGAGAAAAACAGCGGTGTAAAAAGGTTTATATTCGTTACGTCTTTCACCGGTATTACCAAAGCAAGCCCTCTACTCGTCTTCTGCGCCGAAAACTTGGAAGATCCAAACAGAAGGACGCCATTTCTTTCTCAAGGTTGGGATTTGTGCCGGCGATGTCGTCTTGCTCATCGACAAGCTCCAACTCTCCACCAGTAATCTGTATGATATTTTGTGTGTTCTATTGCTCTCTGTTTGTGGATTTTTCAAACTTTTCTCTGTTTTTTTGGTTTGTCCAATTCATGTATGTTCTATTGTTCTTTGTTTGTTTGATTGGATTTGAGTATCAGCTTTTTTTTTGCCCCCGCTATTGCTGACATTCTTTTGGTGTTTCCAGTTTTGGCTTCGTTGGTATGTGTTCTGTTGTATGTTGGTTGCTTGATGACACTTAAGTGAGCATCATGGAAATTAACTGCACAAAGACACTAACTGAAATTGAATTCAATTCAATTGCCACTAATAAAAAAAAGAAGAAAAATTGAATTGGTCTTTGGATTTTGAAATAGTATGAATGTGGTCTTTATTATGTAGAAACATTATGATGCTAAGAAATTTAAGAAAGGGGATTTATACAATTTTGTCCAACTTTTAGAGATTTTTGTTGGGACTATTGCTACTGGACAGGGGTCAATGAATGCATATACAGTCGTCAATGTTTTGAATGCGGCGAAAAAAGCTGCCACACAACCAGAAGAGGAAAAGAAGGGTAGAGGGGACTCGGATGAAGTCCAGGATGCAAAAGCCAATAGAAGCAGACGGTCTCAGGGCCCTATTACTCGATCCAAGAAGAAGTGCAAGAAGAAGGCTACAGTTGACGATGCTATAGAGGCTTTGGCAAAGAGTGCTACCCTACGCAGTGAGACATCTGTTCAAAAAGTTGTTTTGTTTCAGCAATATTTAGCTGATAGGCAAGCCCATACTATGGCGGCAGCCGAGGCTCAGAAAGAGGATCCTACTACAAGTATTGAAACATGTATGGATTTACTGAATGGGTATAATGAGTACTTAGACGACGATGCGTATATTAAGGCAGCAGAGATATTGGCTATTGACATTTCCTTTAGGAGGATATTTGTGAAAATACCTACTCATCGTCATCTTTCATGGATTCGAAGCCTGTAATTTATTGGATTATTTATTTATGTTGTTTTCTTTATTTTTTTCCTCTCAGACTTGTATTTTTTCTTTAAGTATTGTTGAATATACTGTTGAACTACCTTTTGGACTTGTGTTTGTTAGACTTTATTATTTGTTTCTAGGTGGATTGAGATAAATTGGAGTTCTTTATTGATTAATTAATGCTATATGGATGTTTGATTAATTAATGCTATATGGATGTTTAATTAGTTCTAGTCATGTTTCTTTTTTTAGGTTAATATGGATTCTGATGCTACAAATAGTGAGGATGATGTCATAATTGTTGACTTTCTTCACTCGTCAGATGATGATGATGAGCCACAAATTTGTGTCCAATTGCTGATATCGCTTACAAATAGACCAACTAAGCAATCTCATTGTAATTCTGTGTTAACTGGACGATAATATGTTTTAGAACAATTGTATGGACATCCTAAAAATCTGTTTGAAATGTGTCGTATGCACCGAGACACGTTTGAAGTAGGGCTGGCAATTCGTGTTTGCGTGTCATGTTCGGGCCGGCACGATTACGGCACGACACGATTATAGTGAACACGAACACGACACGATTAATAAACGTGTCAAAAACTCAAACACGAACACGAAACGCTAATAACATGGTTAACACGACACGACACGACATGCAAACACGATTACTAAACGTGCCGTGACGGGCTAACACGAAAAAAAATACGTTTATGACCCGTTTATAACCCGACTAGTAAAAATAGTTGAATTTTATATTGTATTCAAAACTATATTAAAATATCCAAATATCAAACACACACACACACACACACACACACACACACATATATATATATATATATATATGATACTACTAGATTATCAAGTACATATGTTTCAAAACATATCAATTACCAAACATCCAAAGAAGATTGAAAACATAACCAAGTACATTTAGATAAGTTTGAAAACATAACCAAACATTTGAATGTCTAAGTGCATAAAACATAAAATAAATACAAGAAAATGTCTTCTTTGAGCATTGAGGTTGAATGTCCAACTACACTCTAAAAACCAAATTTAGTTTCTAGTTGCTTTAACCTATTCATGGAAGAAGAAAACATTTTATTAATGAAAGGAAATTTATAGCTTAGGCATGCCACAAGGAAATTCTTGTTACCTTCCATTGCATTTGAGGTGTTGAGGTTGTGAGAATTTTGAGATGAACCAATAGTGGGCTCATTGATATCTAAAGTAAAAACATCTTCAGTAATTTCATCCACAGCTTCACGAATCGATTTGTTGTTTTCTACACATAATAGATAACTTATATGGTTAAGACTTAAGATAACATATGCTAAGACAATAAATAAACAAAAAATAATAATAATAAATATACCTTTATCTCTAAATAGCTAATTCCTAGTGCACACCAATGTCTCAACTACAACAGGTTTAAGTGAACTCCTATATTAATCCAATACTCGTCCTCCAACACTAAAGGCAGATTCAGATGCTACAGTAGATATTGGGATACTTAGGATATCACGAGCCATGTAAGAAAGCTTCGGATAGTGAAACTGGTTTCCTTTCTAAAATTTAAGAACATCCAACTCAACACTCCTTTGTACTTTTGGCTCATCTAAATAAACTTCTAATTCTGATTTCTGCATAATAGTTTGCTCTTGGCTTTCAAAGTTGTTGAACTCCTACAACCACAAAGATATAAAACAAGATGAAAAAGACAAATAAAGAATAATCAGTATTCATCAATGAATGTTAAATTAACAAAATCAACATATAAACTAACTGTTACCTTCAATACTTTGGTTTGCCTCTGTAAAAACTTTTGTGTTGGGTTCTTAGCAATAGGAGTAGGAAGTGAAGTCACAACATTTGTTGTAGAAACCTTGCCCTTAGAGTATTCAGTAAACAACAAGTCAAAATTTCTCTTGACTTCTAAAAACTGAGGTGACACTTTCATTCCATAAACATTGCCATAAGCATAATCTACAAAATTTAACTTGTAATGAGGATCAAGCACTATCGCAATTGCCAATATCAAACTGAAACCTTTCCAATACTTCTCAAACTCGATAAGCATTGCTTTTGCCATAGCAGACAAATATGCATATTCACTTCTCTCAAATGACTTCAATGACAAATAACATGTGTACACAGTTGGAAAGTACAAGTTTGTAGTGGGGTATTTAGCTCCCGAAAAAACACAAGTGATATTATAAAAGGGTTCCAAAAATTCACAAATTTTCTCGGCCTTTTCCCATTCATATGGATCAGGACAGTCCTTGTAATTAGAATCACTCAATTATAAATGACAAAATGCTTGTCGATAATACAAGACAATGTCAAGTATGAGGAATGTTGAGTTCCATCTTGTAGGTACATCTTGCCTCAAACCTCTCTTAGAATCAAGACCCACAAGATTTACACACTCTAAAAACTTCTTCTTTCTAATTTGGGACCCTCTTACATATTTCACACTCACACGAATCTTCTTAACCACTGTATCAATATCTTTCAACCCATCTTGCACTAAAAGATTCAAAACATGGGCACAACAACGAATATGAAAACATCTTTAGAAATAAGTGCATTTTTTTTTCAATTAACTGATTTTTCAACCACACTCACATAATAATGCATTGTCCTAAGTAAGAGTGAAAACCTTGTTTTCAATTCCCCACTCACATAATAATGCATAAAGTTTTTCAGACAATGCAACACCAAATGTGGTGGCATGAGCAAAAATTCAAAATCCTCTTCTGCAATACCTAATCTTTATCAATAAAATAGGCAATCAATGTCAAATATCCATCTCTGACTATGGAAGTCCACAAATCAGATGTCAAACAAATTCTATTAAGGCTCAAATCCAACACAGATTTTACTCTTGCTTTTTCCTAAGAAAATATTTTTTGAACATCTGCCTTTAAAGTATTTCTAGATACTAAAGTTATCCCATGATGCAAATATCGGTAAGTCACGAGCATTTTGTCATTTAGAATTGAGTGACTCCAATTACAAGGACTGTCCTGATCCATATGAACGGGAAAAAGCTGAGAAAATTTGTGAATTTTGGGAACCCTTTTACAATATCACTTGTATTTTTTCTGGAGCTATATACCCCACTGCAAACTTGTACTTTCCAACTGTGTACACATGTTATTTGTCATTGAAGTCATCCAAGAGTAGTGAAGATGTGTATATGTCTGCTATGGCAAAAGATAGCAAAAGCAATGCTTACCAAGTTTGAAAGTACTGGAAAGATTTCAGTTTGATAGTGGCAATTGCGATAGTTCTTGATCCTCGTTACAAGTTAAATTTTGTGGATTATGCTTATGGATATATGTGTGTGTGTGTGTGTGTGTGTGTGTGTGTGTGTGTGTGTGGATGGGCTTAATAAACGGGTCGGGCCGTGTCAGCCTGATAATGGCCCGTATAATTAAACGGGTTAAGCGTGTTAAACGGGCTGGTACGAATTCAGCCCATTTATTTTCATGTTATTCGTGTCAGCCTGTTAACGACCCAATTAATAATCGTACGGTCCAAACCCATTTATCTCGTGTCGTTTCATCGTGTCATGTCTGAAATTGCCGGCCCTAGTTCGAAGCAATTGTTCGGTTAATTCAAGACTGCAACCTATTGCCTTCTTCAAGTATATCAACAGAAGAATCACTAATGATGTTCTTAAGAATGATTGCCCACTCAGGCCGCAATAGAGAGATACAAGATATATTTTCTCATTCTAGAGAGACAGTACACCGGCATTTTACTAATGTGCTTATCGCATTGACTGCATTAGCACTTGAAGTTATAAAACCACCAAATATGACATCATCCCCCCAGAGATTTGACACAACCCTAAGTACTGGTCATCGTTTAAGGTACAATCTGACTTTGCTCATAAACTAATAATATGACAAATAATTTTAAATTAATCATAACTCACGCCTTATGTATTTTAATAGGATTGTATTTATACAATAGACGGTACGCACATAATGGTTGTCCCACCTGCACATCAACAGACAGTCTATAGAGGAAGAAGACATTCGTGTACTCAAAATGTAATGGCAGCGTGTAGTTTCGATATGCTATTTACTTACGTCAATACCGGATGGGAATGATCAGCTACTGATTCCATAATGTTAACTGAGACTATGAGATATCCAGAGAACCGATTCTTGGTGCCACCCAGCCCAATTTATTACGTCAACACGCAAGGCTTTTTGACACCATTTCGTGGTTAGAGGTACCATATTTAACAGTTTAGAAACGGTGGTCAACCAACGGGACCACAAGAGTTATTCAATTATTGTCACTCTTCACTGTGTAATTGCATAAAGAGGTACTTTGGGGTCTTGAAAGCAAGGTTTAAAATTCCTAGGCTTATGACCAATTATTGGATGCCAAGACAATCGCTTATACCAATTGTTTGTTGTGTGATCCACAATTTAATGAAGATGTACGTGCGAGATGATCCTATACTTAGACAATATGATGTCGATTTGCCCTTAGAAGATATTGAGGGAGAACAAGAAGGGCAACAGGGACAACAACTGTTGGTTGCCGAATTGAATTCGGACGCGGAAGCGTGGGGAAAAAGCGGATCGTGTATAACAAAAATTTCATAAAACTTTTGAGATACTCTATAGATTATATTAATTTATGCACGAATAAATTAATCACATTAATTTATATATATCAAGAACTCAATCAGGAAAAATACCTGGAAGCCGACTCGGATGATAACTTGAGTTCTTTGACCACGAACAGTCCTTGCTCCAAGCTTTGTGTTTAGAAAACCAAAGTCTTCCACGTCGATTCCTTGATTCCACGTAGACGTGTGTGTGGGCACACGTAAGACAAAACAGGTTTCAATAACACTCGAATTTCCACAAACACCAACGCATGCACGATGTGGAATTTTTGGGAGAAAAAATTTTTCCTCTCTTTTTCGTCTTTGAGAATTTCGGCCACCTTAACTCTTAGGCAGAAAATTGTTTTTTTTTTAAATTGTCTCCATAATTTTTTATCATTCTCATATTTAAAGAGTAGAAGTCAAACTTCAAAACAGAATCAAATCTCTATC